AGAGCAGCAGACAACCCATGAGATTATCAGGCTGTGTTTATGTTTTTAAACAAATCATTGCATTTTCGCACTCTAGGCTGTATCCAAGAAATCTCTAATCTCTCCTACACAGACCACACCTATCCTCCATACTCTGCTGAGTTAAAAAAAATCAAAAAATACATCTTGTCTGTGCAGGTCATAAATTTCCCGTGACAGAGGACTGCAAATCTTTATCTTATCTTCACAGAGAAGTTTTTGTATCCTTTTAAACTTAATTTTCATTGTTACTGTGCTGACTTTTGGGGTATAGGAGAGTATAAAAACAAATCAACTGATTTTTCCTTTGCTTTGTCACATTAATTTTTTTTCCCAATTCTGTCATAAAACACCTACATAATCACTTGTGATACGTAAATCCCTGAAGTGCTGTTGGGAGTACTAGCAAAGACAACCAGAATAGTCATAGACATGAATTCCACTTTCAATTTAAGTTACGCTCGAAAACGTTGCAATAAGAACTTTGTCTCTGCTTAAATGAGACCAAAACCAAAAAATGCAAACCCCAAAACTCACATCCTTTCTCCTACTCCCCTCTTTTCATCTTGTATGCCCTTAATAACTTCAAGATCATTCTATGTTAAAGAATGTAACACTATGAAATGAAAATAATTATTTTCTTTAGAGAAGTTCTATTATTAGGAAACAGAAACTTTGAAAGTATTATTAGGCAAAGAAGTTCCCTACCAGCAAATAAGTGGCAATGGCAACATCTTCATAAACAAATTTCTCAGGATCTGTCACTTCAGGCCACACCTTCAAAGCAAAATAGAGAAAAATTATTTTCTGCATATTTATTTTTATTTCAAAAAGTGCTGATGCAGCAATATGGATACTGACCCACTTCAGTAGGTTTCTGCACTTCATGAATTTTGACCTCATTAAAAATATACCCAAAGACTGTAAATAGACTGTTTGATTTTGTGAGTCACACAAAAGAATAATGACCTAGAGAATGTCTGTTGTCAGCCAATCAATAAAATTTCCAAGAACATTATGGCTCCATATGTGCAGCTCACAAGTAAACTGCTGCATATGTTCTGTAATAGAGCATGCATCCCTTTGCTTAATTCTCTCAGAAGAAAAATACTATTATTACACTGTATTATTCCTGTTATATGCAACATTATGAGCATTTTAAAAATTATTTTCACAATGTAACAGGCATAGAATTATCCTGGCACAAGAGAACACAAAGAATCAGAACTGAAGTAGGAAGACAGAAAGTAGAAGTATTATCCCTATTTGTAAATGAGGAACCGAAACAAAGATTAAAATGCTCAGCACTACACTAAGTCTCCTACAGAGCTAAAAACTGAACTACCTTACCCACAAGCTCAATTTTCCTCTCATATCTTCCTATAAGTACAGAAATATCAACAGTAAAACATTTCAATGTTTCACAGTTACCTTACAAAAGCATTTACCAATAGTAAGTAGAGTTGTGTATAGAGAGCTAGAGACATAGGGATTACTTCCTGCAGCATTTAACACGATCACTGTCATTTTTCAGGATCAAACAATATTCCATTGCTCCTCTAGCTCAGAAAGACATATTAATATAGCATTTACATTTAAAAAGAGTAATAGGAAATTTAACCTGCTTACTAACCAGTGCCGTTTCCAGACTCTTTCAGGTTTTGGAAAAGGTTGTACTTTATTTATGCCTTCTACTGTGGATGACTTTGTATTTATATCCACTCACCTACTGCTTACTTCTTACACAAAGGGAAATGTTCTGGAAAGTATTTAACTGCTCCAGACATTTAGTGTAAATTTGGCTCCAAATCTCGCTTCACCAGTTCAGTTCTTTCAAATACTAAACTGTTCCCTCCCCCATCCCCTCCACATACACAGAAAAAAGCCCCAAAATACACATTTCACTGAAATTGCTTGTTATTAAAAATGAATTTAGTGAAAGCAGCAGTTTCACTGAACAAAAAAAACAACAACAGCTACAGGAAAACATATTATTTACTGCATTTATTGCTAAACTTACCTTTACCATCTCTCTGTATTTTTCTTTAAGGTCTTGATAAACCTTGCTGTATTTTGCTACAGAAATAAGCGACAGTGTACTTTTAAAATTGCTGGGCTTTTGTTCCACAGACCATTTAGCCAGTTTGGACAAAAGTTCATCTCCAAGCCATGCTAGTTTGGGATATGCAATGCCATCTGAAAACCAACCTTCTGGAAATGGAGCAACAATAGACACAGACCTGTAAGAATAAAATAAAAACTCTGTATAAATACAGTGTATTTCATTATTTCAGCTACCTCAGAAAGAGAGAAAAGAATGATTAAGTGGAGAAAATCAGCAGATCAAACAGAGGTATAAAAGTAGACCAGAGAATGAGGAAATATGTCATACACAAAACCAAAAGGAAAATAAAACAGTGAAGTTAATTATATAACAGTCTCCCCTGAATTTTATTAAGACAGCTCATTATTTGTCAATTCAAACACTGTACATGGGAGTCCATGCTGCATTTAACACAATGACTAAGGACTTGCATAGGATCAAGAACCTGATTTAGCAACATACCCAAACACTAGTAAAAGTGAATTAATGAAATTCGTGGAATTCATGGAAACAACAGGAAAATTTAGGAAGAAAATGTATCAGCTGACACATTTCATTATCTCATAATCTCTAACTTAATTCAGATTTCATTCGAGCTATGCCCTTGGATGCTCAGGACCAAGCTGCAATGGTCCCCACTGCAATGACTGAAGCTCAGTAGCTTCCAAACAGCAACTCCAATTTGATTCCCAATCACACCAACAGCCACAGAACCTGACCTCTCTCACAGGCATAGCTAGTTACTCCTCATCAGAGTACACATACTTTTTCTAAACCACACACGTGTACATTAAATGTATACATCCAAAGTTGAAACATATTTGTGCTGTGTTGATTTGGGAGGGTATTGTAGATGTTTCATTTTTAACTGAACACCACACACTACAATCACACCACTGCTGTCATGCACTAATCAAGCAGGACATTACACAAAGCAAACTGCCTAGACACTAATATTAAAACATGATGAGATCCAAGATCCTCACGATAATACAGGGTTTGCTTCCCCTCTCACTCCCAGCACTTACCATTCCTCATCTTTTATGTGTGTAAGCTGAATTTGATAAATATTGCACTTTTTAATCTGGTATTTTCCTTCACTGTTTTCCTCCAGAGGTAGAAAGGTCACAGTTCCATTGTAAACATCTGAAAAGATATGTAAATAGTGATTATATTATTCCATGATGCAAACCACCCTGGTTTGCACCAAAATAAACTTCTGTCTCCTTAATAAGCTAAGTGCAAACTAGTGAGGCAAGATTTAGGACAACAGAGGAAGAACCACAATGCTAAGAACAGATTCATTTCTCAGTGTGCCTGACACATGAAACTACTGAACTGTTTGAATTCTCAAAACTTAGCATTTTGCCGCATGATGTTCCCAAAACTTCTAAGGCTGACTGGTAAGGCTATTAGTTTTCTTTGTCTAGCTTTTACTTTATTAAAATAGCTAGGTTTAATGAGATTTTTTCTAGCACAGAACTGTTGCCTTCCTCTACCTCATAGTAAATCCAGAGTCCTCAGAAGCATATTCCAAATTAACAGAGGCTTATCTACCGGCCCAGTACTAGATAAACAATCAGTGCAATATTAAACAATAATCAATAGTATTATTGGTATCTATCAATTTTGTGGTATTCAAATGCAGGACCTATCATGTGATTTAATTAAGTACAGCTATCCTTGTGTTTTAGCATCATGTAGCTTTCCCAATTACCTGAACTAAGCACAGTGAAAAAATAAATTATCTAGCCCTAAATTAGTATCTCATAACTCTAAAGGGAAACTACCTGAGAAGACACAGCTTTAGGTAAAGGTGAATGTATTACATTAATATATTAAGTTATGTATAGCAACCACACCACTGATCTTAATGGTATCTCTCACCCATGGAATGAAATATTTATGTTCAGTGACAGACTCCAAACATGAGGTATTTCGGAGGACAAATACCTGGCAACATGCTTGAGTGCCTCTAACATATTTCAAAAGGATAACCCTTCAACTTCTGTCATGTTTCATTCTCTAATATCTATCGTGCATGTACCATAATTAATTCCTACACAAGTAAACACGGAAAGCGGCAGAGTGTATCCTTTTGAAGTAACGTCCAAATAATATTTTTCTTACAAAGTGACTCTAAAAGCATTTACTCTATTCCTTATGGCATATTATATGTATGCATTATTACTTTACAACCCAGTTGTAAAAAAAAAAATCTTTTTAGCTATTTTTAATCCAGGGCAATTTTGTCAGAATAATTTATTAAGTCCTCATTTTTGAAAATACTTTTCCAATTACTATCAAAACAAGGATTCTAATAGCTGCAAATCTTAAAACTAATTATATTGGCTAAGTAATCAGTTTTCAATGGACTCCAAAATTTATTATCATCATACAATGTTAAAAAAAACCCAAACAAGTTCAGCTTCATCTTGAAGCAATACTAAACCATAAGAAAGTCGACACAAGTCAACTTGGCCAGGCAGGTGCCACAGCTGCCTACTTTTCATCATTAACTCTCTATTTCCAAAGGCTACCGTCACTCCTTACAAGCCCATAATTAGGTCTGCACTGAAGACACGTTTTTATGTGGGCAACTTACTCATGGGAGGAGCTTGCTCGATGACAGTCCTTCTTGCCTTTTCTTTTAAAAGAAAACAAAAAGAGGAGGCATTTTCTATCTCTCTCCCTTTGGAGTGGGGTGCTTGGCTTCCCTCAGTGTTTCTCCCATCTTAGCAGCACCTCACACATAACACATTAGCTCTTCCCCTACAGTCCTTTCCTAACGTTAAAGCAGAGGTTGTTTAAACCAAAGTCCCACAAGTATTTGACTTCTGTAATTTCTATTTTAACTGCTGACGCTTCCTAGCACCACAACAACAACGACAAGAAGCTGCTGGGCCCCGGGCGGGGGCTTAGCACTCGCCCTCTCTCACTGCCTCGGAGCCGGGCTCACCTTGGACCGTCAGCTCCTTGGTCGGCGGAGCGGGCGGGCCAGCGGGCCGCGCCCGGGGCAGCAGCGTCCTCAGCACAGCGCGAAGCTCGGAGCAGCGGCCCGGCCT